TGCCCCCCCCCCCACACACACACACCCCACACCCTTGTGAGGATAACTGGATCAGAAAATGGATCGGATTGGAGATGGATATTCATTGAATCGATGTCAAATCATAAGGGAAAAAAATCATTTCTAAAAAGCTGTTAAATGCTTAAGTCAAAAGAAAAGTGGTGCAGATCTTTTTATTTTGTCCTTTGAACATTTTAAGATCCTTATCTTATACTATCCGTTTCAGTTCAAACTTACAATGGAAAAGTCTTGACTGAGTTGCTGTTCGAAGGTTCAAAAAGACTACTTTTAGACAGAAAATCGCAGTTGAGTGTTTTGTAAAAAGATGTTGGCGCACTTTTGTAAGGCGAACTTCAATTTTGCCGCGGAATTTGGGTTAGTGACGTAAGGGGGAGTGTACATTCTGATTGGTCGTTCGGCCGCGTCCTTCTTTAAAGAGATAGCACAAGCTGCCCTCCTATTGGTCCGCAGCGTGCAGCGCGCCAAGGTTTCAAGAAAAAGTTCAGCAACCCCCTTGCAATAGTCAGTCAGCCACCTGCTCGCTTCGTTTTGCGTCTTGGTGATTCTTCTTTCAGTTGTACTCCTTTGAGGTCGTCCACTGTCGTGCGTGCGTGCGAAAATGCAGTCCGTTCGCTCGCCCCTTTCCGCCTCCAACGAGAACAAGCTGAGCGCGGACGTCGGCAGGATGTCGCTGGACAAAGAAAACACGGTGAGCGAACGATAAGCGATTAAGTGGCAAAATATTCCGAGTTGGGTTTGCTCAGGTCTCCTTTTGTGTCTGACAGCCCCCGAGCCTGAACACGGCGCGCATCTTGGCGTCGAAAACTGCGCGCAAAATCTTCGCCGAGACGCCGGTAAGTGACGTCACAGGCCAGCCAACTTGGCTTGCAGCGGTTTGGTTTTCGGTTACTGTCGTCAACATTGTTGTTGTTTACCAGCAACTCAAGCCGCAACCCGCAAGCAAACTCCCCGTTGGCTTGCTTCTTTTACCCGCCATGCTGCTGCATGAATGAGATGGCGACCGTGAGCGATTTGCGTTTGTGTTCCAGCTCAAAGACGTGAAGAAGAACAGGAGCAGGGAGGTGGAGCCTCTGCTGAAGGACAACCCGCGCCGCTTTGTCATCTTTCCCATCCAATACCACGACATCTGGCGCATGTACAAGAAGGCCGAGGCGTCATTCTGGACCGCCGAGGAGGTTCGGACGCACCCGTGCTCTCGGCTGTCCGCACGTCTGTATGGTGTGCTAACGTGTGCTCGTGTAGGTGGATCTGTCCAAGGACACTCAGCACTGGGAAGTTCTGAAAGAAGACGAGAAGTTTTTCATCTCTCACGTGTTGGCCTTCTTTGCGGCCAGCGACGGCATCGTCAACGAAAACCTGGTGAGACGCGCGGCCGAATTGTTTGCTCAACTGCCGGCGAAGCGGGCGAAAATGGTCACGCGTGGCTGTGCTGTGCTGTGCGTCCACCAGGTGGAGCGCTTCACGCAGGAAGTTCAGGTGACGGAGGCGCGCTGCTTCTACGGCTTCCAAATCGCCATGGAGAACATCCACTCGGAGATGTACAGCCTCCTCATCGACACCTACATCAAAGACCCCAAAGAGAGGTCAGCCGATGATGACGCGTTGACGCGTGGCGCAGCGCTCTGACGCCGTGTTTGAACCCCTTAGAGAATACCTGTTCAACGCCATCGAAACGATGCCGTGTGTCAAGAAGAAGGCCGACTGGGCGCTCAACTGGATCGGCAACAAGAACGCCACCTACGGTAAAGAGCCGGGAGCTCCCCATCTCGTCTGGCGACCGCTCATGCAGTGATTGATGGATGAGTTGCACCTGTCCCGCCTCCAGGCGAGCGCGTGGTGGCTTTCGCCGCCGTGGAGGGCATCTTCTTCTCCGGCTCCTTCGCCGCCATCTTCTGGCTGAAGAAACGCGGCCTGATGCCCGGACTCACCTTCTCCAACGAGCTCATCAGCAGAGACGAGGTCGGGGGCCCGTCGCCGCCGGCGGCGTCTTCCATGTTCGTGCCTCGAGCCCGCGTTTTGACGCGCTGCTGTGCTTTCAGGGTCTCCACTGCGACTTTGCCTGTCTGATGTTCAAGCACCTGGTCAACAAGCCGTCCGCGGACACGGTGACGTCCATCATCAGGAACGCCGTGGAGATCGAGCAGGTGAGCGCCGGCCACCGCGCGGCCGCCTCCGTCCCTCTCCGCACCTCTGACGGGCGGACCCCGCCGTTTCAGGAGTTCCTGACGCAGGCGCTGCCCGTCAAGCTGATCGGGATGAACTGTGAGCTGATGAAGCGCTACATCGAGTTTGTGGCCGACCGCCTCATGATGGAGCTCGGCTTCTCCAAGGTAAGCCGACGGGCGGGGGAGAGGACCGGGGAGGGATCGGGGGCGGCCGTCGTGATGAGAAGCGCAGGGGTCCAGACCTCAGCCGACAATGGGGGCTGAGCGCCGTCGCCTGCGTCACGCCGCGGGGCACGTGGCCCGGCGGCGGGCGGGTAGGCGGCGACGCGACACAGACGCCCGACTGAACGGTCGCCGGGCCTTTGCAAACGCTTCTGGCGTCCCGTCCGTCCGTCTCACGCCCGTTTGTGGCTTTGCGTAGCTGTTCGGCGTGGAGAACCCGTTCGACTTCATGGAGAACATCTCGCTGGAGGGCAAGACCAACTTCTTCGAGAAGCGCGTCGGCGAGTACCAGAGGATGGGCGTCATGGCCACCAACACCGACAACACCTTCACGCTGGACGCAGACTTCTGAGCCCCAACGCTCCCCAGCGGCGGCGCAGAAACCCCGTGCAGTTTTTCCATCTTCTGCCAATCAGGCCGGAGATAAATTGTCTGTACAGTTGATGTCAATTAGTTTTTATGAATTTTTATGCAGATTTTAGTGCTTGTACATTGTGTATTAAACATCCTATTTTTACACGTTTTATTTGTATTTGGATAAAGTATGAAAATAAAAACACGAGGAAGCAAAACTGCAGTGACAGAGACGAAAAAAAACCTGCTGTCGTTTCGAACAGCAAAAACAAGTCACGTGATAGACTCGTTGAAATCACGTGACAGTGTGACGACATAGGCGGAAGTACGGCGACTTTGAAGAAGGAAAATGTCGATTAGTCAAAGCAGGCAAACGTTTATCAAGCCGGTGAGTTTTGCTTTGTTTCGTGCTTGACTTCTTTTGGGCTTCAACCGAGACCACAACGTTGCTAATTTGGTTTTTGACACTTTGACGTCGGGTAACGCCCAACTAACTTGACGCAACGGTTTGAATCCTCTTGCACAACCACACAACAAAAAGCATTCTATTGAATTTGTTCGCTTCAAACTACAATCGGTAGTTTTCGGTCACATTTATGGTTAAGAATAAAAATGGCAAAAACGGAAAGAAGAGGCAATTTTCGCCACTCAAGTTTCCGACATCGGATTCACTGACTTTTTGTATTGGGGCGTCGTCATTTTCAATTTGAAAAAAAAACAACAAATCCTGCAACTGAGCCAGAGTGAATCTCTCGTCTGTGTCGTTGTGTAAGTTGCAACAGCACATTTTCATTGCCATTTTTCTGGGGAAAAAAAAGCGCGCATCGTCACATGAGAAGTCATTCCAAGCAGTCGCGCAGGCATCTTGAGGGTGAGACGTATTTGCCGCGAGCTCAAGGCTTTCAAAAGGTGGATGAAGCCCTTCCAAGGCGGAAGCAAAAGGCTTGGGGCGCTGACGTCATTTCGTCCTTCCGCTTTTTGCCACATTGACGAGCCTCGACCTTCTGCACAGGCGCTTCCGTTCTCGTGGACCATCCGAGGTGGACTCCTTCCCGGCGAGATGATCCTCATCCAGGGAGCGGTACCTTCTGATGCAGACAGGTCGGCTGCCTCTTCCTCACTCGCTAAGCTCTTCACCTTCTTCCTCATCTTCCTATTCCTGACTCCACAGAGGGCTGCACAAGGTAGCCATGATCAATGTAAATGTTTTCGATATCGCTTGTCGTCATCAGCTCGCTGATTTCAGGTCGTTGGGTTCTCGTGCGGTTGAACAACACAGAGTCAACCAACTTGTCTCCTTTTGCAGCCGTGACGTTAGTCTAAGCAGCGCAAAGACAAGGAGAGGGAAGCCGCGAAAGAAATATTAACAAATTGGTGGCGCCGTCTCCTCTTGCCAGGTTCCAGGTGGACCTGACGTGCGGCAGCAGTGTGCGGCCGCGCGCCGACGTGATCTTCCACTTGAACCCGCGCATGAAGAAAGGTCAGGTGGTGTGTAACACGCTGCAGGCGGGTCGCTGGGGTCGCGAGGAGATCCTTCAGCGCATGCCCTTCACCAGGGGCGCCCCTTTCGAGCTGCTGCTGCTCGCCCTCAGCGACTGCTTCAAGGTGACCGCTCCGCATCCCATCAGTCCACTGATGCTTTGCTCAATTTGAATGTAGCCAACTGGACTCCTCTTGAAGAGGTTTCGGCGAGCTGCGGAGTCACGGACGTACACGGCAAAGAGTCCTCCGGCTAACTCAGCAGACATTGAACCGATGCTCAGCTAATCAGCGCGACCGCTGTGGCTTCCAGGTGGCGGTCAACGGCGCTCACGTGTTGGACTACAAACATCGACTGGCGCTGGAGCGAGTCGACACGCTGGCCGTGTCGGGAAAGGTCCAAGTTGACGTCGTGGCTGTTCTGCAGCAATCTGTGAGCATCCGCCATCGAGTAGGTGAGCAAAAGTCACGCGATGCCGCTCAACTCGTCTGGTTTTGCAGACGCCTTCACCGTTGCCCGGCGCAGCGATGGCAGCCGACGGGGATGCCGAGCGGCCACGTTCGGCTGATGACAACGCAAGCTCGCGCATGCTCATCATGTCAGCTGACCCGGTGAAAAGAAACTTTATTTTTAGCATTTTTCATCCTTGAATAACAGTTTGCAACTTATTACAACATCAAAGTGCTCGCTGATGCAGAGTACTGATACCTAGTGGCTTTGCGACATTAAATTTCAGTGACACAATGAGATGTTTTAAAATGTTTTTCTTTATTTTTTTTGTAATTATGAAACGTGTGTTTGTGTGGGTCCATGTGTAGCGCGGCGGCTTCCGAGGCGAGCTCTCTGGCGGACTCCGTGTGGGTAGCAGCATCGTCATCCGGGGACAAGTCAATCAAGGGGCAGAGAGGTACTTGCCCCCCACCCCACAAAGGCGGCCGTGACCACGACAACGTGTGTGCGCTTCATTCCCAGGTTTACCGTCAACCTGCGCGTGGGCGACGGCGACGACACGGCACTTCACATCAACCCTCGTTTCAAACAAAAAATGATTGTGCTGAACTCCTTCCTGAGCGGTTCCTGGGGGGCCGAGGAGCGGCGAGTGGACACCTTCCCCTTTGCACCGGGATCCTACTTTGAGGTCACAAAAACACGAGAATGACTGATTGGCAACCCGTCACTTGTTTATGGTGACTCCTTGACAAGCTCCTGCTTGCCATTTTGTTCACACCCGCTGTGTTGTCGTTCAGATGATCATCCGGTGTGACCCGGACTCGTTCCGCGTGGCCGTCAACGGCGTCCACCAGCTGGATTACAAATACCGAGTTCAACACCTGCTCACCATCACACAGCTGCAGGTGACAGGCGACCTGTCGCTGATGGACGCCAGGCTGATGTGATGTCATCATTGCAAGGTGGAAAAACTGCTACTTCCTGTCAGGATGTCTTCTTGCTAACTGCACTGGCCTAAAGTCAAACCTTCTTCAAATGACCACTCGCTGCTGCTGCCTTCTGTCCAACTTAAATGATATAAAATAACAAAAACTTAAACTGCATTAGCCCCCCATATATAAATTAAAAACAATTTACAATAAAACAATCCCAGCATGTACTGAGACAAGTCATTGACTGTATGAGGTTTCGACTGATGCCGCCGGGGAGCGTTGGGGCTCAAAAGTCGGCGTCCAGCGTGAAGGTGTTGTCGGTGTTGGTGGCCATGACGCCCATCCTCTGGTACTCGCCGACGCGCTTCTCGAAGAAGTTGGTCTTGCCCTCCAGCGAGATGTTCTCCATGAAGTCGAACGGGTTCTCCACGCCGAACAGCTACGCAAAGCCACAAACGGGCGTGAGACGGACGGACGGGACGCCAGAAGCGTTTGCAAAGGCCCGGCGACCGTTCAGTCGGGCGTCTGTGTCGCGTCGCCGCCTACCCGCCCGCCGCCGGGCCACGTGCCCCGCGGCGTGACGCAGGCGACGGCGCTCAGCCCCCATTGTCGGCTGAGGTCTGGACCCCTGCGCTTCTCATCACGACGGCCGCCCCCGATCCCTCCCCGGTCCTCTCCCCCGCCCGTCGGCTTACCTTGGAGAAGCCGAGCTCCATCATGAGGCGGTCGGCCACAAACTCGATGTAGCGCTTCATCAGCTCACAGTTCATCCCGATCAGCTTGACGGGCAGCGCCTGCGTCAGGAACTCCTGAAACGGCGGGGTCCGCCCGTCAGAGGTGCGGAGAGGGACGGAGGCGGCCGCGCGGTGGCCGGCGCTCACCTGCTCGATCTCCACGGCGTTCCTGATGATGGACGTCACCGTGTCCGCGGACGGCTTGTTGACCAGGTGCTTGAACATCAGACAGGCAAAGTCGCAGTGGAGACCCTGAAAGCACAGCAGCGCGTCAAAACGCGGGCTCGAGGCACGAACATGGAAGACGCCGGCGGCGACGGGCCCCCGACCTCGTCTCTGCTGATGAGCTCGTTGGAGAAGGTGAGTCCGGGCATCAGGCCGCGTTTCTTCAGCCAGAAGATGGCGGCGAAGGAGCCGGAGAAGAAGATGCCCTCCACGGCGGCGAAAGCCACCACGCGCTCGCCTGGAGGCGGGACAGGTGCAACTCATCCATCAATCACTGCATGAGCGGTCGCCAGACGAGATGGGGAGCTCCCGGCTCTTTACCGTAGGTGGCGTTCTTGTTGCCGATCCAGTTGAGCGCCCAGTCGGCCTTCTTCTTGACACACGGCATCGTTTCGATGGCGTTGAACAGGTATTCTCTAAGTGACCGCTCTTTGGGGTCTTTGATGTAGGTGTCGATGAGGAGGCTGTACATCTCCGAGTGGATGTTCTCCATGGCGATTTGGAAGCCGTAGAAGCAGCGCGCCTCCGTCACCTGAACTTCCTGCGTGAAGCGCTCCACCTGGTGGACGCACAGCACAGCACAGCCACGCGTGACCATTTTCGCCCGCTTCGCCGGCAGTTGAGCAAACAATTCGGCCGCGCGTCTCACCAGGTTTTCGTTGACGATGCCGTCGCTGGCCGCAAAGAAGGCCAACACGTGAGAGATGAAAAACTTCTCGTCTTCTTTCAGAACTTCCCAGTGCTGAGTGTCCTTGGACAGATCCACCTACACGAGCACACGTTAGCACACCATACACACGTGCGGACAGGCGAGAGCACGGGTGCGGGCGAACCTCCTCGGCTGTCCAGAAAGACGCCTCGGCCTTCTTGTACATGCGCCAGATGTCGTGGTATTGGATGGGAAAGATGACAAAGCGGCGCGGGTTGTCCTTCAGCAGAGGCTCCACCTCCCTGCTCCTGTTCTTCTTCACGTCTTTGAGCTGGAACACAAACGCAAATCGCTCACGGTCGCCATCTCATTCATGCAGCAGCATGGCGGGTAAAAGAAGCAAGCCAACGCGGAGTTCCTTTGAACTCCTTTGAGTAACAGGCGGTCAGTCACGTCTTTGTTTTTTTTTTCTCTTCGTTGCGAGTAAGCTTGAGATGCACTGACAACTGCGTTGAACAAACAAATCCAAATTAAGAGCATTTGGGAGGACCTGCTGTTGGCCACAACGAGATCGTGACGTCACTCGCTAGACCCCCCCCCCAACAAAAGACACGTCCCACACTTGAATACTACCTTATCAACACAAATCGAAACAAAAAGTTATTTCAGAACGCTTTCTTCCATTTAGTTGTTCGAAGATAGACTTCTGTTTTCATGAAAAGAAACACCGGTGTTTTGGTAGCGGGGCGAGAATAAGATTTCAATGGGAAACTACCAAACCGCGGCAAGCCAAGTTGGCTGAATGTGACGTCACTTACCGGCGTCTCGGCGAAGATTTTGCGCGCAGTTTTCGACGCCAAGATGCGCGCCGTGTTCAGGCTCGGGGGCTGCCAGACACAAAAGGAGACTTGAGCAAACCCAACTCGGAATATTTTGCCACTTAATCGCTTATCGTTCGCTCACCGTGTTTTCTTTGTCCAGCGACATCCTGCCGACGTCCGCGCTCAGCTTGTTCTCGTTGGAGGCGGAAAGGGGCGCGCGAACAGACTGCATTTTCGCACGCACGCACGACAGTGGACGACCTCAAAGGAGTTACACTGAAAGAAGAGTCACGAAGACGCAAAACGAAGCGAGCGGCCGACTGAGTGAGTATTGCCAGGCGGTTGCTGAGCCTTTTCTTGAAACCTTGGCGCGCGGCACGCTTCGGACCAATAGGAGGGCAGCTTGTGCTATCTCTTTAAAAGGTACGCGGCAGAACGACCAATCAGAATGTACACTCCCCCTTACGTCACTCACCCCCCCATTCAGCGGCAAAATTGAAGTTAGTCTTACAAAAGTGCGCCAACATCTTGTTACAAAACACTCAACTGCGATTTTAAGCCTAAAAGACTCATTTGAACCTTCCAAGGAAACAAAGTTGTCGATATTTTTAACTGCGATTCCTCGTCAGAATTAAATTGTCGCTATCCCAAACAGGAATTTTAGATATCGACATTTTCCTTGCAGATGCCCGCCCTCCACTCGCTGTTATTGGCATTTGTATAGTACTCGAGGTAAAAACGAAGCTCATACACATGATTGGCACAAGTGACATAATTTGTCCTTGTCGAAACACGACTCGTTGGAAAGATGTTGGTGTTATTGACAGGGATTGTTCCAGATAGTCAAACTTATCGTTGAAACATGGAGACGGCTTGCCGTCAATGTCTTTGTTGCTCATATGTACCTCGTATTGAATATCATGGACTTGTGTGATGCAGTTGTCTTGTGTGGCCAGCATACGATCCATCGAAAATAAGAAACACAGATGACGGCAAGCTAGGAATTTATTTCATTCAACGAGGAAGGAAAGTGACAGGCCGAGTTATGCTGTTGAGCTTTTCAAATATAAATGTCAAGAGATGCTTTTGCTGGTCTAGAGACAATTTGATTGAGGCTGACTGAAGGTCAAAAGACATCCTTGATTACATTCGATGACCTCATACAGCTGTGCGTGCACACACGTGCGTGCACCGAGGCGTGTTGTGAAGATAATGGAAAGCAAAGAGCATGATTATTGTCCTCCACGCTGCGCTGCCTCGCCTGTGTCCTTCTGTGTCGGCAGGAAAAGATGGAGCGGAGGTGGCATGCATGCTCTCCGGATCAGGACCACTTTGGACTTAAAAGGCCACCTTCTCATTCACATCAAGCCGGTGGGCTCAGACGTATTCCTGCCGGCTGTAATTATCCTTCACCTCCTTGGGGGACCACCTCGAGGGCGACGCATATGTCTTCCCCACCTCGGGGGTATCAACGCCAACCAAAGTTTTTTCCCGGCTATCGCGTTGCGCCTGCGGGAGGCACCGCTGCAGCCGGGCCAGGGCGAGCCCATCAAGCTCCGTGGGCGTCGGGTAGTCCGGCAAAGCCGAACCCGGACAGGACAGACAAAAGATGACGCCTCCTACCAAGAGGAAGCCGGCAGAGATGAAGGTGACGCAGAGTGCCCCCCCGGGCTGGTATTTGCTACCGTCGGGTTGTTGGGCGCTCATGAAGGTGGCCAGCACCTCTGAGGTGAACCAGGAAGCGGGACCCAGGCACAGGGCGCTGGCCAGGACAAAGCAGCCCCCCGCCGCGACAGACGTGCGACCCTTGGCTCGGTGGCCGCCCCCCCACCGGGTGCACCGCAGCCCGACAGAGGCCAGGCCCAAACCGAAGACAGCCAGCGCGCACGACAGGACCATAGCGGCCCGGGTGGTCTGCATGTAGGGGGGCGGCACCAGCGAGGAGTTGGTGGTGGTGCAGCTGAAGACGCCGGTCCCGTACCACACGCAGTCCATCCACAGGCCCCGCGTTTGCCACATGGGGGCCACCATGCTGGACCACACCCTGATGCTCACCTGCCAGTTGGGCAGCAGCGTGGCCACCGTGGCGCCGACCGTGCCCAGCAGCGCCAGGACGAACGCTAGGATCTGCGCGGCGGCCGACAGCATCGCTCCGACCTCCCTGGCCCCGCGACGGACGATTCCTGAAAGGAGGGCGGACACGAGCGCGACAACAGAAGCGAGAGAGCGTCGGAGAAGGTGAGAGAATTTAACACCGACGGAGCATACAGATGTACCAACTCCAGAAAGCGTGACAACAAATGTGAGTGTGAGAGGGTAAAGAAGAGAATGTCAAAACAGGAGAGCATCAGAGAGCCGAAGACTGTCAGAGTGTGTGAGAGCTGAGAATGCAATAGCACCCCAAATTTGGGCAAACGTAAGAGTCTGTCAGAACATGGAGGCCAAAGGATGAAAGAGACTGGCGAAATAAGAGAATGTGAACGAATGCGAGAAAGCGTGACGGGGGCCTGCAAGGGGGGCGGGCGCCCCATCATGAGCATTTAGATGCGCAGCGTCCCTCAGGAGGGACATCCAAATGTGAAAGCTGCATCGCCCTCACCTGCGCGCGACTGCGATGCTTAGCGAGGGCCGATTCCCGGCCGTTGCCCCGGCAACCACGCAAGCGCGCACAACGAGAGCAGCACACTTGGTGGAAGCGCTTCCCGTCTCACCTGAAGGTCACTGCCGGCCGAACGGTTTCCGATCTGCTGGCTCCTCGTGACGGGACGTAGGCTGTCTATTTCCCACTCCGGTCCCTGTCCTGGTTTTGGCACTGTGCAGAGGACCATTGAAAGGGACATTGGTGGCAGGGATGCTCCGGTCCGGTGAAGAAAAGTGGCGCGTGGGTTTCGCTGATAAAAGCGTCGTCTTTTTGCAATCAAAGTCAGGCAGTCACGTAACCCTCTGCAAAACGCTGATAAGATCCCAGTCACCCCCCCGATCGCCAGTGACGGGACACCGCGGTAGCCAACTGTTCCCCGCCCCCAGCCCGTTATTATGTCTTATTACGCCCTTATCACCAAAATAAGGCGCTGCGCCCCGGTAGTCACCAAAAACTGCCCGAGCGCGTTGGCGGCGCCAAACAACAGACCACCTTCAGGTTTGATGAGGTGACGGGCTCGCCGCAGTGATGTCATGCAGGCAAGACGCCGCACCTCTGGAGGCGGAGCCACTTCAGCGCCGTCGGCCAGTCGGCGTTGGAGCGCGAAACGGTGCTGCTGAGGTACCAACCCCGCCGATGTCCTCACGTCACGGGTCGTTAGCGTCCCAATCAGGAGCTCCATTATGAAACGGGAAATCTTTTGGCTTTCCCGTTTCAACTCATTTCGCGAAGCTTCCAATGCAAAAGTCCAGCAAGACGCTGCAACGAGAATTCAGTTGGAGAGGCGACATACGTCATCCATTAATCACCAACTCCGCAACGATTGTGAGCATCCATGAGAGTCGAGCCCTGCTGTTGATGAGGCCGAGGGACCGTCTGGCAAGGGAAAATCTGCAACTAACTGACACTCATAATAATTGCATTGACCGAAAATTAGATCTGTACAAATCGAAATATTTTTGCTAGATTCTACATGGAGAGGCCCGGTGCCACAACGGGACCATGTAGGCTCCCCCGAAGTTTACAGATGGCGGCCCAAACGGGGTGGTACAAATTTCATAAATAAATAGGAGCAGATTTTTTAATATTGAAGCTTTTTGAGTTTTATCCACTTAAATCGACCCGACATCACTGATCATTTTCAAATCCTTTTAAGAATGCCTTGAACAAGATATACAGCAGGGCCAACACAACATCCCAAAAGGCCTACTGTAGGACCCTCCCTGAAAATTTATTTTTTTAAACAACCCAGCAAATTTCTCAAATAAGTGGGAATATAGTGCCAAGAAGCATTCCCCCCCCCCCATGAGAAACCGAGGTCATTCCATTTCACCATCATGTCTTTACCTCATCCATTAACTTCATTTAAAGCCTGCGCTTGACCTTTCACCCCATGATCATGCCTGTAATTGCTAAGCCATCTGGCACAAATGATACCCCCCCCCCCCCGCCCCAACAAGCCTCCAGCGCCACCCCAACCCCCCCTTCACTAGCACACTCATCTGTGCGTGTCATGCTTTAGTGCGTGTGGACGAATGTCAATGTTCAGTGGGTCACGTGCTTCTTCTCGGCTCGCTTTTCTTCCTCAAGAAGTCAAACGCCCCACAAAGGTGAAACAGTGTATTGCACTTGAATTTAGAAGGCATTTCCACATAAGAGTCTTCCAAGGGTATCAAATGTATTTATTCGGCCAGTGTTTGAAATATACAATGTACAATATAGGAAAAATATTGTTCAAAATTGTTGTAGGTGTACGGCTGGACTTTCACGTTCTGTGTCTTTTCGCAGGTGGTTGAAGCTCCGACTTGGACTGATTTTCTGCCTCGTCATCGTCGCTGTCCTCGTCTTCACAGTCGTCTTCGTCATCTGCAGCAGAGCGACAATTTGGCAACATGTATAATCAGCATTATTTGCAGTTTTAGCATTCAATCTGTCCCAATATTCCCCAAATGCACAATCGTTTTAAGCTTCTTGTCACTTGTTGTTGCCGCCTTGTACACTAGGTGGGGCTGGTGTCCGAACAAATGGACAAAATAAAGGCTGCTCTTTTAACACAACACGGACCAGACATTGGGATGAAAGGCAACACCATTAAAAGACAATGCCTTTGAAAACGATAAGAGGCTGAGATTATTATTATTATTACTTTGCAATTTGGGTCCTGGGTGCTCACCTGCTGCGCAGTCCCCGGCGAGTCTTTCCTTGTCCACGAGCTCGTTGAGAAGCTGCGAGACGTTCTCACCCATTTTGTGAATCGCCGCGATCAAGGACGTGAGCGTGTTCTCCACTGCAACGTTGATTTTGTCCACTTTGTGAGCTCGACCGTCTCTGAATTTCAACTCCGCTGAAAGAGTAAGTGTGGACGTCGCCATGTTTACTGCGCTCACGCACAGAGTGCTTGACCTGCAAAAAATGTAATATATTAAGTACATAAAATAGTAAACATCTGTCTTTGGAGTTGTCACTCGTTACAACTCAAAAGTTTATTTTTCAGTTTTTTACTCTCCTCACCAGCTGTTTAACTTTAACCTCTGTGTAGCGCCAAATTAAGTTGCGGAAGTAAACCGGATGTTGTCGTCGGAAATTGGCCAGTAATAGACATAAGACTTTCATAGATTCCACCCTGAACGGATATTAAGCAGAAAATGCTTGATATTCATTCCGAATACCAAGTTAATGTTATCACTTCAATCATGTTTGCAAAACATGTATATAAACAAAAACATGTTGCACAGCCCGTGTTCACAACGCGGTGTTGACACATCTAATATGGCGGTCGCCAGCGAAGCGGCTCTATTTCGACGAAGTCTATGGCGGTAGTTCGAGCCTAAAGAGCAAAGTGGTAGCGTGTGCGAATCTCGCTGGACATATGATGAGAGATTGCTTTGCACTGTTACCCCACTGAGATTTCGAACTCAAGACTTTCACCGGTAAGACCATTTTTATTTTGACCAGTGCTAGTTTGTATTTGGCATTCTGCACAAGCAACTTGGTTATTCATCAGGAGGCTAACTAACTAGCGTCACGTCCAGTTTAGCGTGCATGTTGCATCCAGTTGTAAATACGGCTGAACTAATTTTTTTCGATCCTCTTGAGTGGTAGTGCAACTTGGCGTTATATTCAGATTTATTTGTCAAGTGCTCCGTAAAAACACAATTGTCGCATGGACAAATGAAATGTATTCATTGCTCGTCTCCCTGAGATGTTGAATTCCTTAAAGAGTAGTTTTAAATGTCCATCCAGCCATTCATTATCTGTACCACTTCATCCTCTCGAAGGTCGCGGGCGTGCTGGAGCCTATCCCAGCCGTCTCCGGGTCAGTAGTGGGGGTGCACCCTGAACTGGTTGCCAGCCAATTGGAGGGCACAGATTGACCAATCACAAATATATATCTAAATTACGTGTAAATATCCTGGCAAGTATTGTAGCTTGAAGAGGCATCGCACAGCGTAAACATCCGTGTAAGCAGGATGATGGAAAAATATTGCGGTTTGGGTGACCGGTTGTGATCCTATTTGTTCAGGAGACGTATGGGTAGATGCTGTTTTGTTTTTTTTTTGTCTTCTTGTTCTACTGCTGCGCATGCCAGATTCTTAATGTCAGCTTTTTTTTCTACTTGTCCACACGAGAAAAAAGGTGCGCCTGGCCAAGATGTCCGAGGAGCAGACTGTGTCTTTGGTGGACGTTCTGCAGGAGGACGAGGAGCTGGAAGAAGAAGCGTCTGCCGTGTTGGCCGGAAGCGACTCGGACCACTGCTCCTATCCTCAGGTAAGCGCCGGAAACTTCCCATCAAGGAAGCTGAAATAGGATGTTATTTCCAAGATTGGTCAACAACATCCGTCACAAAATGGGGAAAAAAAATTTCGATTTTGGTTTCCCCAAGTCAAAGCGGCTCTTTCCAAGGCTGCGGTTTACACTTAAAAAACACAGTTAGTGAGTCTGCTTCCGCGGAGGATGACAGAAATCGGAGAATTACTATTGACAGGCTAAAATTTGGACAATATAAAGTTCAACAACCATTAATTGATGATCAAAATAGTTGTCAATTCATTTGAGAGCCAATTAATCGAATAATTGGTGGACCTGTAGTACAGATGAAATAAGAAATGGTGTCTCTGGGCGTGTGTGTGGGTGTGGGTGCGGGCTTGCGCAGGGCTACGTGAAGCGTCAGGCCCTGTACGCGTGCAACACGTGCACCCCGAAAGGAGGTCAAGCAGCCGGCGTGTGTTTGGCGTGTTCCTACAAGTGTCATGAAGGCCACCACCTGTTTGAGCTCTACACCAAGAGGTGACCACCTTTCACCTTCACCTGCCCTAAATGCACTCAGTGATGGACGAATGATCAAGTCCATGTCGATGTTCTCTTCAGGAACTTCCGCTGTGACTGCGGAAACAGCAAGTTTGCAGATGCGCCATGTAAACTCTTTCATGTGAGTCACCGGGCACCCCCCATCCCCTTACACACACTCGTCCTCTGACATCCTGATCATGTGTGTGTGTGTGTGCGCGTTTCTTTTTTTTTTTTTTTTGCGTCAGGACAAGGATGACGTCAACAGCCTGAATAAATACGGTCACAACTTCTTTGGCGAGTACTGCACTTGCCGCCGGCCGTACCCCGACCCAGAAGACCAGGTGACCCTCTCGATGCGCCTGCGCCCGCAAAAAAGACATCTGCTGACTTTCTCATTGCGTCTCTCGTCAGGTTGAGGACGAAATGATCCAGTGCGTGTTGTGTGAGGACTGGCTGCACGGCCGGGTGAGAACTTGTGGACCCGCTTGCACACATCTGTTAAAAGATTCGTTATCTTTATCGGGTCGTCACAGACAAAACATCCTGGAGCGTTTGCGCAGCCGTGTGGCCGTGTGCTGATGTTGTGGGTCACGTCGCTTTGCAAAATGCGTCCTGCTGCCTGGGGAAGATGTGCGGGATGGGCGGCTCGGACCGTCCCCGTACTAAGCGTTTTGCGTGTGCCTGTTCAGCACCTGGGCTGCCAAGTTCCAGATTGCGCCGAGCTGCAGGAGATGATCTGCGAGTCGTGTATGAACGCAAACGAGTTCTTGTGGAGCTACGCCGCTCGGCTGGCAGGTGAGCGCCTCGTCTGTCCCCTCGATTGCCCGATGCCCTCGGCGATCACGAGGACACGCCTCCCCCGGCCGGCTGACCCGCCTCCGATGCAGTTGCAGGCCGTGCGGTGGAGTCGGAGACGGGGCGGGAGACGTGCGCTGACGCCGTTGCGGCCGACCAGGTGACGTCTTCATTATCGCGGTGCCCTGCCCCGTTCAAGGCGGACGAGGCCGCCGAGCCGCGCTGTAAACGAGCTCGTCTGGAGGACGGCGATGAGCCCGCTTGCCGACTGAAGGAGCTGGAGGCCACCGGTGTCAAGCGGGTCCAGTCCGGAGCCGTCTTTTGGCCTTCGGGGTGGCGCTCCAAGCTGTGCCGCTGCCAGGGCTGTCAGGTGCGAGCGAGCCAGGCCGCTTCTTGTTGTCGGGCGGGCCGGCTGGGGCGCTCACCCGTCTCGCCGTGTGTTCAGGGAAGGCTGGCGGAGGCGGGGCTCTCCTTCCTGCCGGATGAGTCGGACACAGTCCTGGCCTACGAGACCAAAGGCAAGCGCGAGGAAGGCAGCGCGCCGGCTCACGACCCGCTCATGTCGGCGCTGGACAGCCTCAACCGCGTTCAGCAGCTGGAGATCATCCACGGTAAAGCCCGCGGACCGCCGCCGCCCGAGCACTGCGCTGACGCCGTTGCGTTTCCCGTCAGGCTACAACGACATGAAGAGTGAGCTCAAGGACTTCCTGCAGACGTTTGCCACTGAAGGGAAGGTGAGCGGCTTCACTGAGTTTCACACGTCTTGCTTTCGTGCTAAGGAACTTTGAAGTGAGTTGAAGGGGTCGAGTTTGCTCGAGGTCGTGCTGTAGCATCATCCTTCCCTCAAGGAACAACGTTGCGGTGAATTGAGGAATTGTGTTCAGAATAACGTAGTGCTTTGGCGCCATCTCTCGGCAATTACGAGTCGGCGTAATCCACCAATTTGATGTCGCTGTATGCAGACATTGACGTGACCTTTCCCTCGTCCTAGGTCGTGACCTCCGACGACATCCGTCGGTTCTTTGAGCGGCAGCAAAGTCGCAAAAGAAGACAAGCGGACGGCCCGTTCAACTGCGTCTGACGCCCGCCCGCCTCCGACCGCTGACCTTTTCTCTGCGCTTGCTCTTTTTCCTGATGCCAACCGGTTTTCTCGCCTTCCCTTTTGCAAGCAAATAAAAACCGTCCACGCTGGAAGTTTTTGGGGATTTGGCTTCGTTTTTGGCTTCAAACGCATCACGTGACCGAGTGCCAGTAAACGGGAAGTGACAATAGGTTTGACCTTTGACCTCATCGCGGCTGCGTGCATAAGGAAGCGCCGAGTTAACCTTTGGTGGGATCCCCAACCAAAGCGCCGCTTCCACATTTGTGCCCAAGCACACGTAGAAGGCCGCTGTTGCATTTCTTGCCGCTATGATTCAAACTCATCCAAACATCGTTCTTGTTGTGGGCTGTACCAATTTTTGCATTCCACTTATTTCAGTCCAAGTGAAAAATGCATCATCTCATTGAGATGATGAAGCTTACTTTCAGGTTCCAAATGAAACCTCTTAAAATTGGTCTCGCCAACATTTTGGAAAAAAACGTGATTTTTCAAAGGTCAGTGTACTCATTTACACGGAGCAGCATAAACTGCAAAAGCAAAACTAAGTCCCCCACCAGCCCCCCAAAAATCCCAAAGTACAGTACTACCATCCTCTGGTGTCTGCGCGTGAGCTCGTGTGTGTGAAACAGGGCCATGTGTTTCTTCAAACATCTTTCCATCACGTCAGGTCTTTTCTTCTGTGGACAAAATGTAATCAACTGTTCTGTTGACTCTGACGCCCCCCACCCGCCCCGCACCCTCGTTTCCCCACTTATCTTCAAATCCCCCACCCCCAGTGTGTGCGAGCAAGCAAAGACGATCTGATGCGAGGGCGAGCGGCACCGGCATCAGAATGGCGCTGAAGAAAGCGGCGGCGGCGGGTCTTCTGCGCGCTCCCAAGGCGGTTTGGATGACGGCGGGCGCGGCCTCGGTCTTCAGCAAACCCCCCAGGCAGCGCATCGGGGCCGGGGTAAGAACTAAGAACTCTTATGGTCGAACACCTAAAACTTAATGATTGGTGTATTTTTAAAAATCTGGATTGTACCGCCACACTCTTTTGTTTGACTAAAGAAGAATGAAAATGGGAAGGAGTTGAGCTCATGATTGGGGGAAACAAAAATCTCAATTTGTCAACACGGAGATCGATCACAAAAACGGTTTGTCCAATATTTTGCTCTTGCGCGTTCTCAATAGATTGTTTCAAAGTGCTCGTCAAAGTGCTTGTGAACATGTTTGTTGTTGTTGTGGACACGCCACGCCTCCCTCGCACAAAACGGCAGCGGCCGATGGGCAAGAAAATGAGTGACAAGTTCAAATCAACACAGTGGATGCTTGTGTTTTGTTTTCTCTGTCTGCTAGCAAACCTTTTTGGTCATGTCGGTGTTTGCGGTGGCCATGTTGGCACCGGCGGCCTGGATCCTCCATCATCTCCCCGAGTATCGCCGCAGGTCCCGCCACAAGGCCGCCAGATGAGCGCCAACCGCCTGCCCGCGCCTCCTCAAAATTGAAAGCGCAATTGCGACATGGAATCGGACACCTTTGCTTCTTGCTCCTCTTCTTCTTCTGCTGCTGCTGCTTCCGCCAAGAGAAAAAAAGCTAAGCAAACAGAGCAAAAAAGCTCCACTATTTGTTTATTTAAGAAAGAAGGCCGGAAATGAAACCGATGGAGAAAAAAAAAAGGAACATCAAGTTCCCCAAACAGGAAGTTTGTGTTTGAAGAGGAATGTGATAATTGTGATGACATCACTTCCTGTTACTGAGACCTCCAACGGAGTGTTGAGAGGAAGGATGTGATCATCATCATCATCATCAACCAAGCTGTCCAATGAAAGAAATTGACAAGTAAATTTGTTTGCTGGCCACGTACAATCGGCTTTCTCCACTGAAAGGAATGCAAAGTTTTTTTTTAATGAGAAAAACATCACTCTATGGTACAATGGTGTCATTCATAAAAAAAAACATACAGCGATGAAATCATTTGACAGAATTAAAAGAATTCAAGCGTTTTTGTCTCACTGCTCATACTGGTGTGTGCACCTTGGCCACCTCCGTCCTGGAGACGCAGCTCTTACCTTCTTAGTGCAGATTAGTCGCGCGATAAGGAGGATAAATAATATATGCCGGTGAGTATGAGTGTATTATGTGTTGCTGCACTTTTGGTGTCCGGGTATCCTGCTGAAAGGACAACATTGTCACTTGACACTAATTTTAGCTCGCGTGTTTACCATTGTATGCTAGCATGCAACACGCCGCCAGCATGTGGCGACTACAACAAGCTGTCAATCATCTGGCGAACGATGATGCGACTGCGCTCTCTCCGTGCACGTGGCATCTTGTTGCCAAGCGCCGGCCGAAGTCTGGCGGCTCGGTTTCCCGCTCCCGAGCAAAAGCCAAAGCGAACAACTGCACGCCAGCTCAAAAGTCCAGCGAAGCTTCCCGGTGCTGCAGGAAGCGGATCAGACTTCCGGGAAGCGGCAAGCTCGTCAAGCGCCGCCGTCCCACCAGCTGCACGATCCGGATGCGGCACAGCTGCAGCAATCGCCGCGGCAACGCTGGGCACAAAAGCACAAAAGGTGACTTCAACTCTCTCTCGCTGCAATAAGATGACAAAATAAGTCATCACGTTGGAACATGATAAGTTTCACTGGAGGATTTTTGTTTTGAATGTAGAATGTGTGTGGCTGCTCCTTTCCAGGAACCCGGAAGGCATGAAATCAAGATTTGATTGACAGTGGCTGTTTTGTGCCACATGAGCCGCCGTCTCCGTTTTGGTGCAGACGGGCTTCCCGGGTCGAGGCCATGTGACTTTTTGGTTGGCTCACCGGCTTTGTCTTTGATGACGCTCCAGCCGTCGTAGCTGTCCAAGTGCTCCATCAGTCGGGAGCAGAGCGTCACATGACCCACGTAGTCCAGCAGCACGTCGAGGATCGGCCCCGCCCACCGACTGATGCTGGGCGCCGAGATCATTTCGCAGAACTGGCGGCAAAAGCGCAAGTAGGTCACCGGACTTCTTGTCATTTCATAAAAACTAAAAGAGCTCCAAGTTCCCTGTCACCTGAACGCCCGCAGTCGGCCGCTGTCCTTCGGGGTCTCCCAGGTGACCCCGGTGTGACCGAGTGGTTTGGAGCGGCGGGTGCGGCCCGTTGCCGTAGACGCACCGGAAGCAGGAGAGGGCGTCGCCGCCGTTGTCCAGCAGGTACTTGAACATGGGGAGGTACTTCATGGAGAACATGAAGATGGCGGGGAAGGTGGTGGGGTGGGTGGGGATGCGCGCGTTGATGTCCGCGCCGTGCTCCACTAGCAGCGTCACGTTCTCGATCCAGCCCTGCCTGGCCGCCACCAGCAGCGGCCCGAAGACGTCCAGGTTGGGATCGGCGCCGGCGTCCAGTAGCGCGCGAACGTTGTCGACGTTGTCGTTGGCCACAGCCAAGTAGAGCGCCGTGCTGCGCCGGTCCTCATACAGCCGGGAGCGCTCTTCACACAGCTGGGCGTTGACGTCGAAACCGGCCCGGATCAGGATCTCCAGGACGTCGTCGCGGTTGTGCTCGGCCGCCACATGGAGCGGACTGATGCCGGTGCGCCGGACTCTGGCCTTGCTGGTGGCCGGGATCAACATGGACACCAAACTGAGAAAGAACACAGGCGGTTCTTCCCGTGGCCGCGGGGAAGGGGAACTGCAGCCCGGGGGTCTTGCGCGCTTACGCTTCGCTTCCCTTGCGGGTGGCAACGTGAAGTGGCAGCAGTCCGGCTTTTCCCGTGATGTTGGCGTCCGCTTTCTGGGAAAGGAGGAACTCCACGATGTCGGCGTGCCCGTTCTTAGCGGCTTCGTGAAGGGCCGTCGCTCCGTCGGCGGCCTGAGTGTTGATGTCAGCGCCTGGGGTCGCGGTCAGAGGGTGAAAGCGGGGCGCGGGCTTGCGCCGCCGTCGTTGCCTCGGGTGGCTCTGACTTACCGTGCTTGACCAGGAGGCGCAAGGAAGCGAGTTGGCCGCTCTGAGCCGCGGTGAACAGCGGCGTGATCCCGTAATTATCCGCAGGGCTGTGCTTGCCTCCGGCCTTCAGGAGCATCTGGCAGATCTCCACGTTGTTGCGGCAGGTGGCCTCGTGGAGGGCCGTCCAGCCCTGGAAGCATTTGGTGTTGACCGCCGCTCCGTGATTGAGCAAGAGCGCCACCAGCGCGGGGTGGTCCCTCTCACAGGCTGCGGGGCAAGACCACAAAACGGCTCCATGGAGGGCACGTCACTCGACAACACTTCCCCCTACCTTTGTACAGCGGAGTCTCGTGATCCCGGTTGGCGGCGTCGGGGTCGGCGCCGTTCTCCAGCAGAAGTTGAGCGCATCGCAGATTCTCGCTTCCGACCGCCACCAGCAGCGCCGTCTCCGCGTGCTCGGTGCGCTGGTTGATCATCCCCGGCTGGGCTGAGCGCGCCCCCGCGGTATTGCCGGCCCATCGGGAACACCCACAAATATAAACAAAATATTTGCCAGGGTTCTCCCCTTGCCCGGGTGCGCTTTTGCCAAGGACTACCCTTTCCTCCCAGAGTTCCAAAACATACGTGCTAGGTTGAGCGGGCACTCGATATTGTCGCTCGGTCTGACTACCTGAAGACGGCTGGGAAGGGCTCTAGCACGCCCGTGACCCTCGTGGCGAGAAAGCAGATGGATGGAAGCTATTTGTTAGCTGGCTGGCATGTTAGTTTGTAGAATTGTATTGTGGTTGATTTGTATTGGGTTCCGCCGGTTTCTTTCAGCGGTCCGGGTTGGTTGTGCCACGTCGAGTCACCTATCTTCCGTGACAGTGAGCGGGTTACCTGAGAGGAGAAACCTGAGGCACTCCTCCTGGTCGCAGCACGCCGCCTGATGGATGGCGAGCCAGCCGGGCTTGCTGGGCAGCATCGGGTTGGTTCCCGCAGACGCTATCAGAGCCTTCAGGCGGCCCACGTGGCCCATGCGAATGGCTTGGAACAGGGGCTCTTCCTCCCTGAGCGACACAGCAAACCGATGCACACGTGACCCCTGACCTCCTTGGCCCGCGTCTGACCTCAATCACGCATAGGGGTTAAGTGGCTCGGGTTAGGCTTTCAGCTACGGAGACTGTCAGGGTTAGGGTGCAGGAGCAGGCAGAGTGCTGAAGTTAGGGGTGTGGGGCTCGCGTGGCCAGGGTTAGGGTGCAGGAGCAAACGTACTCCTGAAGTTCTGGCGCGATGTGGACCAAAGTGCCGTCCCGTTTGCGATAAGCCAACATCTTCTTCCCGGCCCCGGTGGTGAAACGGCTGACGGTGCCCTCAAAAGTTTCTCTGCAACTCACACACCAGACGAGAGCCGATCAGAGCGCGGAGGACACGTGACGTCAAGCGCTCCACTTTTGGCCACTTTGGATTGAAACCGAGTGGCAGCCGCCCGGCCTCGAATTGCGCGCAAGCCATCACGAACTTTTCGTCATCAGATTCCGGTAAATCTGCCCACGAGGAAGTGTCCAACCTATAGTGGTGCCTTGAGATAAGAGTGTATTTCAGTCTCTGACCATGCTCCCAACTCAAAACACTCTTCCCATGGACGTGAACGAAAGATGTTATGAATATGTTCCAGGCCACTTGGGGGCAGGAAAAAAACGGGCCGATGGATGTACTGTTCAGCGAGACATCTCAACTCCTCTCAGCTCATCAGTACGGCACTAACATTGATTGCGCTTTGCAGAGGATAAAGAACATATGTCTGCAAGTACCGTGATATTGCCTGTCTATGTGTTGTAGCACTGCCACATGGACACTATGAGCTTTGTCCCTTCAGTGCGTTACGTCATGTTTGCTGCGCTCAGGGTTTTGTTTCATTGTTACTTGGAACATTTTTTTGGGAGGACACTCTACATTTGGCACATTGAGGTTTTCTTTTTTGAGCTACCTGCGTCCTTTCGCTTGGGTTCTCCATTTTTCTGTTGGAAACAACCAACACAGACTGAAAGTAAGCAAGCAAGTAAATAGGCGGGGGGAAAAAACCTGATTGGTCAACACAAGGAACAGCTGGAAACAAAACAGTTTATCGAGCAGACGAGATATGAACATGCAACTCTGAACATTGTGATGAAAGAAAACTAAATCTCATCGAAACAAAGTAAACACGAACATATCGTTGAATGGATTAAAAAATAATTTCCAAAATAAAAGATGAATTTTGTTTGAATTCATCATTCTGGACTTTGAGGGTTGAAAGCACAACGGAGGTAAAAAAAAAAAGATTGTCGTGAGTGCAAGTCTGTGTGCACTTGCGCGGACAAGTGGCCACATACGTACAGGTCGGGGGGCTTTTCTCGGGGCGGGTTTGGTGAACTGTAGTGGGCGGCGCCTTGCTGTTCGGGTGCAACCGGTTGACCTCTGCTGACTTTGAGGTCGGGAGGCCGCAGGCTGCGCTGGCCTGCCTGGGCCTCGTCCAGACTGCGGTGGATGGCCAGCTGCAGCAGCTCGTCGTCGCTGAGGTCGCCGTAGGCAGAATAATCGTCCAGTGCCGCCGTGTCCGCCGCCATGATGGCGCTGAGACGAGAAAAGGACAAAACGTCTTCTGACTGACCTTCTCAACTCATTTGGACTCTCGCGTGCGTGAGAGGAAAAAGAACAAAGGACAGCAACTTGGGAGGACTGCTGGGAAATTGTCAGTGTCAGTCAACTTTGACCGTCTGACATGCACGCACGCAAAGAAATGAACAGAGAAAAAGTTCTCACCGAGGTTTCCCCGTTTCCAACGAGTCGTGCGTCGTCTGCAAGGGGCGCCTTTCTTTTTTTAGCGGCCGCTGCTCGTCTTTCATCACGTGACCCTTTGCCCTGGTCACGCACGTCCACATGAAGCACACGACGCCGAGTGCATCCACTTTGGATCAAGTCCGGGATTTTGATGGGCTGTCATAGCCCACAAAACAAAATGGTGTTGGGTTTCTCGCCTGTTTCACACTCTACAAGAATGTGTGGCATTCCTGAATGTACGGGTATATTGCGCGATGGGGTCATTGATTGTGACGTTGTGTACCCGAAAATGTGTGGAACAAAGCGGGAATGAGAAGTTTCCAATCTGGTCAGTGGTGTTAATAAGCGGTAAAAACACTGCTGTTTTTTAATGATATATGTTATTGCGATTGAATTGCAGCTCATTTTACCTTGATCACATGACTGGGCTTTGTGCCAATACGTGTTGGGAAAGAGTCGGTTTTACGACTGTGGTGCGCGCATTGAAACCTGTTGGGGGCGGTAAAGACAAGAACAAGAAGCTGGGCGGGCGCTCATCAACGAAGAAGAAGGATCCGATTGCGCCTGCGTACACCACGTATGCTTCTCCCTGATCTGGCTGGATGCTAAAGCGGACTAGCTGGCTAGTCAACGCCACTCAGCGGGCTTCCAGCAGCAGTAGCAGAGTAGCGGGTGGACGGACGGAGGTGCCGCAGCGGCGAAAGACGCTTGGACGTCGCCGCGACTGACGAAATGCCCGGCCAGCAGTTCCAATACGATGACAGCGGCAACACGTTCTTCTACTTCCTTACGTCGTTCGTGGGACTCATCTTGATCCCGGCCACCTATTACCTGTGGCCACGGGATCAGAATGCTGGTAAGGCCCCGATGTGTCGGGCTACTTTGCTAGCCTTGAGCTAAGGGACGGCTCCGACAAGCGTCCCCCACCGAACCTGGTGGCTCACGGAAAGAAGCGCTTTGTGGGTTTCTTCGCTCTCCCTGAGCTGAAGCTCTACGTGCCCCGTTCCTCTTTGTTTGCGCCAATCTGGTTTTCGCCGAAGCTGCTGTATGACAGGTTTGCGCACTGGCAGAACATGTTGCAAGTGAGGCACAACTGCGCACTAGTTGACATCTGCGCGCTACTAGTCGTCTTCGTGAAGTGCTTCGTGTTTACTAGTCGTCTCTTACAATGCCCCCGATTTTTCCGACGGAGCATTTGTTCCATGTTCTTGAGGTTCATTACATGAGGACGAGTCCATGTTGCTAGTGAGGCAAAACCGGACACGAGTTGACAACTGCGTGATACTCGTCCCAACTGCTGACATGATACATGAAGTCGTGAGCATGGAGCGCTTCACTCGTAGGACCACCGTGTAGTGCCTGTGGTGGGCACTACGCACACGACACTACGCGTGTTTTATTCGTCCGAAAGGTCAGGTGTTGCCTGTTGCTCCCTGCCAATTGACATAGAGTACAAGTATAAATCCAGTGCAGTCAGACATCAACCGCCTCACGAGTGCAAAGGGAAATTATAGTCGTCAGCCACTTGGTTTTTATCGACATTTTTTTTTTTTTGCACCCGACTCCAAGCCATCTCATTTTAAGTCTCCGCGGAGTCTGTTTCCCGAGCCAATGCCTAGTCGTCAGCCACTTGGTTTTTATCGACATTTTTTTGTTTTTTGCACCCGACTCCAAGCCACCTCATTTTAAGTCTCTACGGAATCTGTTTCCCAAGCCAATGCCCCTCCAATCCAATGAAGAAGAAAAGGAAAACCACATCCAAATGGTCTGTGTCTCTTATACTGCCTCCAGCTGGCCAAGGCGTTTACAGCAATCATGAACAGCACTAGAGAAGGTGAGAGTGGGACCAATAACTATTGACTCCGCTCATTCCCGACTACCGAATCATTCTCGGGCCACTAAACATAAAATACCTTATGTAGTGACAGGGGTGTCGGGTTACCGACAAGATAAATTGTTCGATTAGTGTAACATTGAGCTGAGGTGATGTTCATCAAATAGTTCGCTTTATTTTTTCGATACATCAATGGATGCTATTTTCTTAACATTGCGGTGCGAGCACGCGACTGGAACACAGCAAACGCGGTTTAAACTGTCGTCGGAGATCGCGGCCGCCGCCATGTTTCAATGTTGTTGACAGACGACAGGGCAAACGACGGACGCGCTCAACATGAATATCGTGAAAGTTTGCACCGATGTTGGTTGTTTGAAAAAAAATGCCAACCGTAAAGTTTTTTTTCGACGTACAAATTCTCGGTCGGTCGGGTTACCGGAAACACACTACTTTTTTTTTTTCTATGCCTTATCATGGATGGAACCACAGTGAAATGACAAGGTATGGTCGGTCTGTCACTGAAAAGAAGCTATCTCACTGAAATGATGGTGACCTGTTGTTGTTTTTTTTTTGTAGAGCAATTGCGTCTGAAGAGCCTGCGTCGGGTGCACGGCAGGTGCCTGTGGTATCGTCTGCGACTGCTCAAGTCCCAGAAGAGCATCGTCCCCAGACTCAAGTGAGTCCATGTTTTCCCGGGAGAATCACACAGCCTTCACAAGAGCTTTCTCTCCTGCTTTTTTTTTTTTTTTTTAATGCTAATTTTCCAACTTGGTTTTTGCAACATTCCAACTTGATGCCATGTGACTTTTTCCTCCTACCTTTCTGATGTTATTCTTGCATTTTAGTCCTGTAACTTGAAGATTTTATTCACGAACCCCCCACGCCCAATCTTGTAAAATTAGAACTTTTTCGTGGAACCCTCCTGTCCTTGCAACGGCACAAAATATTTTTCATGAGGCAGCCGACAACGGCGTCATCCCCTCCATGCCCTTTTTTTCCCCGCTTTACGCTCGCCAATGACTTTTAACTGGCCAGAGGAGGAGGGGGGGTTGTCATGGCGACAGGTGCCGATACAGCGCAAGCCTGCGGGCTTTGCTATTGTCATGGAAACAAGTTGAACTTCCACGCACGGATGCCAAACATCGGAAGCTGGAAGATGGCACATCCGCGCGCGATTCAATTTTCGACCTTTGCAAGACGATAACGCTGGTTTTTCATCCGCTGCCAACAAGTCAAAAGTGATCGTTCAGATTCGGAATGGGAAGTGGCATTCTTTTAGTTTTACTTTATGATTGGAGCTTTTACGAAGGCTTTCACGTTGACGAGTCGCCCTCTCGGCGCCACGTTGATCCGGGAACCAACTCCGCTTTGTGTGTGTGTTTTCAGGAAAGCAGCCTTCTTGTTTGGCTGGCTCATCTTCCTGCTGCTTGCCTACAAGGTGTCTAAACTGGACCGGGAGTACCAGGAATATAATCCCTATGAAGTTCTCAACTTGGACCCGGTAAATTGGACAAACAAACGCTTTCCAAAAGTGCCCTTGAATGACTGAGAAAGTGACCCACTGTCTCGCCGGTTTTCTCTGATGTCACAATATTTTGTGCCATTGTGACATTTTTATGCTTCACTGGAGCGTGATTGCGTTCGTTTGTTCTCCAGGGCTCGTCGCTATCGGAAATCAAGAAGCAGTACCGCGTGCTGTCGCTGAAATTCCACCCGGACAGAGGCGGCGACGAGGCCACGTTCATGAGGATCGCCAAAGCTTACGCCGCGTACGTGTCGCTCGCGGCGGCGGCTCCCTTGGCCTGCGCGCTTTGCTCCATTTAATGCCCTTGGTTTGCCCGCAGTCTCACCAATGAGCAGTCCCGAAAGAACTGGGAAATGTACGGCAACCCGGATGGTCCAAGCGGTGAGTTGGTGCTCTTTCTACCTGCTTGCAAGGGCCTCCCCTCAGGCAGTCGAGTTGACCCTTGGAGCGAATGGAACGGAAGCTCGGCCTTGTTTCCGAACCTCTTTTGTCTCCTTTGCAGCAACCAGTTTTGGCATCGCCCTGCCTGCCTGGATCGTGGACCAGAAGAACTCCATGCTGGTATTTATCTTTTTCGTTTTGGGCCTCACAGGAAAAAGTTTCGGGGACCCCCGACTTGAATAGAATTCCGAGAATGGAACAGTTGATGCACGATGATGAATTGGGTGCGGCAAAGTCTTGCGTGGGCCCCGCGGGGCGCGCCAAGAGCTCTAAGCCTCTGTGCTCTCTTGTTAGGTGTTGTTGGTATACGGTCTGGCCTTCATGGTTATCCTTCCTGTTGTGGTGGTAAGTGGTCCTCTTGTATGTTACTGTCGTCGAATGTGTTTTTGACATTCATTTATAGCACCGGGTTTTGTGCACGGCAGGGCATGTGGTGGTACCGCTCCATCCGATACAGCGGAGACCAAATCCTCATCAACACCACTCAGCTCTTCATGCACTTCATGTACAAGACCCCCAACATGAACATGAAGCGTACGTGGCATCGGCAGTTCATCCGCCGAGAATGTTCTCGCGCCAGTAGAAACGTTTGGTTTTATTTCCGGGTACATCCGTGCACGTTGGCACGATTAGAAAGTGTGTAAATTCAACGGATAGATTTGCCGGGGCAATTTCCACAATATCCCGGTCATTTTGCATCCCGATGAAGGAGTTTCTCGTTTTCCGCTTGCCTTTCCAGGTTTGGGCATGGTGCTGACAGCAGCATTTGAGTTTGACCCTCGCAGCAACAAAGAAGCCACCATCCGACCCGCCGACAACATCAAAGTGCCCCTGGTGGGAACCTTGTCTTTACTCTCGCATTTGGACAATTCATCATCTTTTCAGTGTGACACTCGAAAAATGTATTGAATGGAAATGAATAGCACGCGGGTCGTCGTGTTGGCACCGGCGCACGGTGGGTGAGCGGCATTCTTCCTTTTTTTTTTTGTTTTTGCACATCTCGCAGTTGATTTGTAAGCTGGGAAACATCAACGTGAAGAAGAAGGAGCCTCCCTTCTGCTACCCGTACAGCCTGAAGGCCCGAGTGTTGGTCCTCTCTCACCTGGCGCGCATGGATGTGTCCGAGGAGCTGAAGGAAGGTCAGGCCATCCGGTACATGTGAGCCAGTTGGCCTCGGAGACCGACGCTTAACCCGGACGAGGCATGTGTTCCGCTGCAGATCAGAGATTTGTGGTGAGGAAGAGTCCGGCTCTGCTCCAGGAGATGATCAACGTGGGCTGTCAGCTCACCATGATGGCCAACAGCAGAGGAGGTCAGCGCACACCAAGGCGCCACAAATTGCAGCCAACGAGGACTCTGGCGCGGTACAGCCTACGTCACGAGAATGACTTCTTTTTTTTTTCTTCTCTCTAACCAGGTTTCCACGCTCCTCGCCTGGTCACCATCGAGAACTGCATGAAGCTGACCCAGATGATCGTGCAGGGCCTGCAGGAGTCCAAGTCGCCCCTGCTGCAGCTGCCCTACTTCGAGGAGGAGCACCTCCGCTACTGCATCTCCAAGAAGTACAAAGTCCGGAGTCTGCAGGACCTGGCGAGACTCAAAGACTCGGACCGACGTAGCATGCTGCACTTTATGGGCGAGAAGTACGACGAGGTCATGGCCGTGCTGGGCAGCTTCCCTCACATCACCATGGACACCAAACTGCAAGGTCGGCCTTAAAACGTGCACACGTGTCTTACCTTGTTCTGGGAGTGACGCCTGATGTCCGCGCAGTCCTCGACGACGAAGACAGCAGCAACATCACGGCCGGCTCCATCGTCACAGTTACGGTCACCTTGACCAGAAAACGAATGGTGGTAAGCGTCGAATAGTGGCTCGCAACAGAAGTTGAGACGAGGCACCTTAACCCCAAAAGTAAAATAGCGGCTCTCTCTCGCGATACCAAATTGGAGAAAAATGTGGTGCTGAAGTGAAGGTTTAAAAAAAAAAAAAACAATTTTTTTTTTTTTTTTAATTCCGTTTCTGTCATGTTCCCACATGTGCGCGAGGAGAGCCACAGTTCATTGAACGGGACATAAAGTCTAACCCACAAATGCAAAACATAGATTAACTCTGAAACGTTATTTGTTGTCAACAAATAAATAATCATTCATATTGATACCAGAGACACATCTCCAGATGAACGCCAGAGGGAGCTGTTGCCTTATTGCCTTTCAAAAGTGCACCAACGCTGGCTTACTCGTTGTTTAGGAGGTGTTTGAAAAGGAGCAGGAAGCCTTACTGTGTCCTGGAGAGGAGACGGCCCCCGCAGAGGAAGTGGTAAGGACTATGAAAATCTCTTTCCGCATTTAGTTCGTATCCTTGATATCCAGCATAAGGTCCAGGTACTGCCAAAGTTCTTGACGATTCAGCGCACTTGGAGAATGATCAGCGCACTTCTAACCCTCCCCATGCCCACTGCGACCGTACACGGGCCTTAAGCCGACTATCAAAGAAATGAACTAACTGCTTGAACGCACCTTTTTGGGGCTTTAACTGTGCCTAAAGTGTGGGGCTCATTTTCGTGTTTAGCAGGGAGACGCCAGTAAAGCAAAAGCGAAGCAAGTGTGGCAGAACAAGAACAAAGGCACCAAGAAGACAGCAAAGTCCAAGAAGAAAAAGCTGACCAAGAAGAAGACCACGCCGGCGCTGGCAAAAACCAAGCAGGCCAACGGAAGCGTGGCGGGAAGCGTAAGTTGCCCCCCCGCGGCGTGGCGGCTCGCTCTTCATCAAGGAGCACGCCCAAATGCTCTTGTACGTGGCAGGAGGCGCCGTCGGCGGCCAAGGAGGAGGAGGAGGAAGAGGTCTCGGACAAAGGCAGCGAGTCGGACGAGGGCGAGACCAGCAAATACTCTCCCCGCGAGAGAGACGAAGACAGCGACAAGCAAAGCGACACAGAGGTGGACGAGATGGCCGGAGACGACGAGGAGGTGGGAAAAAGCGCTGATCTTAAAACGACTTGACTCTCCAAGAATGCACCGCACCGCACCAGATACGATCTCAGAATACACTCGAGTGCGAGCAATAAAGAAGACTATCCTAGCGTACGCATAAGCTAAAGCAATCGAGTGCCCGCGAAAAGCACCCTCATCTTAACCGCAGACTACATCCTAGATTCTAGGATTCTACACAATTGTCAGGTGCTAGACCACCAACAGTAAATCCTGAAATCGACTGACCCCCGACTACGACCTCGCCCGAGCGATAGCCGGTGGTGACACCCAACCCTCGCAATGCGCTCGACAATCTGAGCATCCGCGGCCGCTCCTCGAACGCACTCTCAAGCCGCTGACGTTGCGGTGATGCTTTCCCAGGAGTGGAAGGCGCTGCAGCAGAGCATCCAGCGGCGAGAGCGCGCCCTGCTGGAGACCAAGTCCAAGGTGACGCACACGGCCTACAGCCTTTACTACCCCGAGGAGAAGCAGGAGTGGTGGTGGCTCTACATCGCCGACCGGCGGGACCAGACCCTCGTGTCCATGCCCTACCACGTCTGCACGCTGAAGGACACCGAGGAGGTAGGTCGTGCCCCCCCCCCCACACCTTAATTTTCAAATGGTGAACGGCGCTTAACTTGAAGCACACATTTGTCCAGGTGGAGCTGAAGTTTCCGGCGCCATCCAAAACGGGCAACTACCAATATTCCGTCATCCTGCGTTCGGATTCCTACTTGGGACTGGACCAGATCAAACCACTCAAGGTGAGTGTGGCAAACGCGACTGACAGTCAGCCTTTGGTACGGGGTGAGCGGCTGACTTCTGGAATGAGTGCGGCAATGTTAAGGAGTGAATGGATGCGTCGGGCAGAGTGAGTCAGCAACTTCAAGGTTTTGGAATGAGTGGATGAATATGCACCAGTCTGAGTGTGACAAGGTGAGGCGGCGACTCGAGTGAGTGAATGATTGCGGCAGGCTAAGTGAGCGAGTTTGAATATGCACCCGAGTGTGACGAGGTTCTACTTCGTGCCTTAATGAAGGGTGAATGTGAGTGAGCGAGTTAATGTCTGCCAACGTCTGTAATCAAACAATGAAAGTGTGAGCCGGGGGGGGATGCATGAATGTCAGAGGTCGAGCGAGGCGGTCGGAGAGTCATTTGGGCCTAGACCGTGTCGTCATGCGTGTGCGCAGCTGGAGGTGCACGAGGCGAAGGCCATGCTGGACAACCACCCGCAGTGGGACATCCCCGACACGGAGGAGGAGGACGAGGAGCAAGAGGACAGCGACGGCATCGAGGAGAGCGAAGACGGCGACGACGAGGACGACGACTGAACACATACTCCGTCAGCATCCCTCCCGCACATCTCAACTGTATTTATAGAGCACTTTCAAACAGCCATCGTTGCATACAAAGTGCTGTACATGGAGCAATTAACATATACAACAAACAGTAAAGCAAATCGGTAACAAAGATAGCAAAACCAAGAACAAATCGAAGTCATGCTGAGTCAAATGCCAAAGAATACAAGTGTGTTTTGAGGCGGGTTTTAAAGATGGGCAGCGAGGAGGCTTGCCGAATGTTCAGTGGGAGGCCATTCCAGGGAGAGGGACCAGCAACAGAAAAGACTCGATCCCCTCTGAACCTCAAGTTTAGTTCTTCATCACGGCCGCCTCACATCGGTGGAAAGAAGCACTACAGTACTCAGCCGGGACATTTTTGTACACTACCCCCCCGACACGCCAGCTGGCCTCTTTTCTATCTTTGTATGTATGTGCGTGCGTGTGTTGTGTTTCTAACCCGGCAAGAATGTGTACAGGTGCAAATGAGCGGGGACGGCAGCGGCCATCTTGCGAGAGTCCAAGCGTGTACCATGCCGCAACGAAACATGACCAGTTGCGTTCCTTTGGCCTCAAGTTGTAACAATCGCCGGACAAACACGTTCCCACCAAATGGACTTTCTAACGGGACTTCACGCGGCAGCGTTCGAGCTCTGCTATGTTCGAATCGTCTCATCATCAGTTCGTCTCCAAATACAGTGATCCCTCGCTACTTCGCGGTTCGTTTATCGCGGGTTCAGTGCATCGCGGATTTTTTCAAACATATTAAATTTGTCTTTTTTTTTATTTAAACATATACATGGAGCACAGTACTGTATATGTTGCTCGATGTACTCGCTGTTGTTTTGCAGCTTCTCGCAGACCGTTTGGGGACTTTAAAAAAAATACATTTTTATTTACCGTACCTGTTTGTTAATTGGACGCTACTTTGCGGATTTTCGTTTATCGCGAGTGGTTTTGGTCCCCATTAACCACGATAAACGAGGGATTACTGTAGTCTCTTTAAAAATGTGGATCAATTCCAGTACACCGCATATTGTAGAGACGGCGAGGCCGCACACTGGGAGTGTATTTGTTATTTGTTTGGTTATGTTCGAGAAGTGGGCGGGGGGGTAGAGCATCTCCGATGAAAGGGTAAGGTGGACGTATAAGTTGGCTCCATGAGGAGTTGGCGTGCAAAGTGACTCAAGTGTTCAAATGTGTGGCCGATAGCAGCTCTTGAATGAAATTGTGCGTTTGGGCTGTGCGCGCTTCAAGTACAATCTTCTGGAGGGCTGTTTTTCCTCATTAAAGGTATGAACATTTTTGTATATTGGGCGCAGGCTGGAACGGACGACTGGTGTTTCCGTCAACGGGGAAACGTCTTTTGAAATTCAAGCGCTTGTGGTTGTTTTGCTTTGAACGGGCGAACCGACCGACAAACCAAGTTAAAGGCTTGCAAAAGGGAACCTTGTGCGTCACCTGCCTCATGTGCCTGAGAATCGGGGTTTGCCTCCGGTTTCCGGCCTCGCGTAGGTAATCGTTCGCCAAGGGCCCCGTCCAAAAGTGGCTCCAGACCCGGTCCCCCGATTTTTTACAGCTCCTAATAGTTCTGAGGTCTTCTGTTCAACCCAATTTCCTGGAGGACACCCCCCCCCCCAAAAAAAAGAAAATGCATGATTACATTAATCCCAAATTTTCCATAGGTGTGACTGCAGGTATGGGGGGAAAAAAGATGCCTCCAACCACCGTGTTGTTCATAAATCTTTAATTTGGTATTGGGATGGTCCCCCCTTAGATGCGCAGCAGGATGTCATGCAGTGGTTTGCGTTTGAGGTCGGGCACGGTGGCGTCTTTGGCAGGGTAGCCGACAGGAAGGAGCAGGAGCAGCTTCTCATTGGCCGGTCGCTGGAGCAGCTTCCTGAGCTTTGGGCCGCAGTTGAGCGGCGTCGACGTCACGGTGACCAGACCCACGTTCTGATAACGCACAGATGACGGGAGAGAGTCGTTGCGTCAGCACAAAGCAAAGGTTGGTTTGCGCAAAAAGGCCGGGCACCAAATTGCCATTGAAATGAGCACATTGTCGTAAAAAAAAAAAAAAAAAAGTTTTTCCCCTGTAATGCTTTCAGTAACAAAGCCCCATTTCAAATGCATTCTCAAAAATGAGTTTTTTTTCCCCTCAAAGCATTTGTTCCAACTTACGAAACAACGAAATATTTTGTCAAAAATACATTTTAAGATTAATTTTTCTCCAAAATGTTTTTTTTCCCCCATCAGCTTTTGTCCACGTAGTAACACAACTGGTATTTTTGTAATATTATCACTTTGTCATCAGATTTTTTTTTCTTGTCATATGGGGGACTTTTTGGAAATGACCACACGACACCACTCGTAATTATTTGAGTACAATGTTTGGAATGAAAGTGTAATCAAAGAAAAATGATGTTTGGCCTTTTTTCCTGTCATAATTTCTTTGCGATTAAATGAAGACACATTTCCAAAGGGGGAAACCAAAACGTTTTCTTTCGTGTTTCATAAAATTCCCGCCAGTCAATCGGGTGACTTTTTCACCTGGCTCTGACGGCACTGCCTTCTTGTATTGTCGTATTTTCAATATATTTTGATTATTTTTGGTCGTTGGCCAGTTGCTGCTTGTTCAACTTGGAACGGATGAACCAGAAGCTCCGCGTGAAAGGTAAAACCTTTGGCTTGGCGTATATGTCACCTGCAGTGCGGCCAGAAGGATGCCGCAGGCGATGGACACGCTGATCTCGTTGTAGTAGTGTGTCCTTTTCTTGTTGTCCGGTAGGATTCCGTACGTCTGTTTAAAGATGAGGATGAGGTACGGGGCGACGTCCAAGTATTCCTTGATCCAGTTGGTCCTGCGGTGGACAAACAGAAGTCAGCTGGCGGGACCACCGGCGTCGGACAGATTGACGTAAACGATGGCGCGCGCGCTCACCTGAATGCGGCCAAATCTTTGACCCACTTGGCGCCCATGCGCTGCCGGTAGTTGACCTCCTCTTCTTCCTCCACGATCAGTCGGATGCGGTGCTTCATGTCCGGGTCGGAGACCGCCACGAAGGTCCAGGGTTCGGTGTGCGCGCCGCTTGGTGCAGTGCCTGCCCGGGTCAGTTGAAAGCAATACACGGATCGTTCCTTCCATTCGTTTCTTCTTCTTCTTTTGTTTCGCAGAACAAACATTCACGCTCACAGTCCCACCGTTAACCTGCCGTGCATGTTTTTGGGATGTGGGAGGAAAGCCAGGCGGGCACGGGCAGAACACGCAAACTCCACATAGGAAGGCCCGGGGCCGGATTCGAACCCGCGACCTCCGCACTGCGAGGCGAACGTGCCATCTTCGGTTCCGTTTGGAGCAATTGAACTGTGCCGCACGACCACTTACCTGCGGTGCGTACGACATTTTCGATGACTTCCCACGGCACGGGCTCGGGGCTGATGAAGCGGACCGACCTGCGCTGGTTCATCGACGCGTAGAAGCGCTTCGATGCGCGCACCATCTGCTCCTCGGGCAGGCGCTCAGGCGAGTAAGGCACATAAGTGACATTTTCACCCTTGTCGGAGTCATCCCACTCGTCGTCTTCTGGAACGTGAAAAAACCTCATTCACATACTGTGAAAACGACCCCCTTCACTTCCGACTTGAATACTTCAAACCCCGTGTGTCTCTTGCCGTGCTCTTTTGACATGGCCTCACTGTCATCCTGCAGGTCCTGGTCCACCCACGGTCGGGTCGGTCCCCCACGAGGGTCGGCGGAGGTCTTGGTCAGATGGCTCCTCGCTACCAGGAAGCCCATCACCAGGCACAGCACCAGCGCCAGGGCCGCCGTGAGGACCGGTATGGCGAGCATGACTGGACAGAGGAGAGGACGCTGGGCTGCTCACAAAGACGCTTCTCCGCAATTGACTTCACTTGAACGTGAAAACGTCCAGTCAGCTCGCACCCACGCTCAGGAATGTCAGCAAAAGCTCATTTGTCTAAAGATTACACAAGTTATTCTTTACCCAAGAGATATGACAGTTTCTCGTGAGATTTACATTGGTTTGCTGTTGTGAAACACCTGTGGTCAATCTGTAACTCTTGAGGGTCGCGGGGCGTGCCGGAACCCATCCCAGCCGTCGTCGGGCAGCAGGGGGGGGCACACCATGAACTGGTTGCCGGCCAATCGCGGAGTACGTGGAGAAAACCCGCGCAGGCACGGGGACAACATGCAAAGTCCACACAGACGACGGCCTTCGCACTGCGACCCCGATTTGCTCACCAGGCCCGAAATTTCGGCCTTTTTCACCTAAGACTCATTCAGCCTTATGTGAAGATGTCTCTTTTTGCTCAATGGATGAGAGATTCTTCCTTGTAAAAGTGCAACTTCCTTCCGATAACAATTGTTCACCCCTCTGTGGTCGAAGTGTCACCGCTTGTGTTTAAGGCTATGTTTATATTCGACCAACATAGGAAGGAGAGTCTAAAGCGTGAGAACAATTTAATAGAGTGCCACGTTGATTATTGACGTAGGGGGAAACATACAAAAACTGTCTTTCACCTCTTGATAATGGAGGCTATGGTCAGAGAAGAGGCCCGGTATTTATCTTTTCACGGATTTCGTGCAATTACAATGCAGTACAGTCGACTGTATAATTTTTTTTCTGGCCCCGTGACATGAGGGCGAGAGCAAACACCGATCTTCCTTGTTGCACTCTTCCAATCGGCCGCAAGGGAGCGCCACTGATTCACCGCATGGCTCCATATCCAGTAGGACAGGAGTTCAATAGTTGTGTGTGAATTATGGACCCCCCCCCCCCAACCCCATGCCCTCCAAAAATCTGCCAAGAACAATCCAAACTGCAAATGGTCAATAAAAACGAACTACAATCAAATAGACAATTCCGATGACAAATGCACAAAGACAGCAAGTTGTCATGGACAGCAACGGAGGTGCGGCTTGCCTGGATTTGATTTGAATCTCAATTGTAGGCGGCATAAGCCCCGCCCCCTTCGGACAGTCTGCGCTGGAAATAGCAGCTGTTCAAAGAGCCCACTTCCACCACTCCGCAGTCTGCCTCGTCTCCGCTCGACACGTCGCCCACCCACGATAAGCTGCCAAGTCGAGACGAAACGAAACGGAGCCATGTCGGCCGCCAGCACCGAGTCCAGCGCCCCGGCGCTGCC